GTTAGTGTATTATAAAGGAGTGTCTTGAGTTCCTGTTAGAGGCCATTCTAACACGTTGCGAACTTGCGACGTGTTTAAAATAGCCTGTGGGAACCCTGCTGAAAAAAACACCAAAACCAGCTTGACTCGTTTAAACTGTCTCCCAGTAAAAAAAAAAAAATCATCTTAAAACAGCTTAAGGCCATTTAGACTTAAGATGGCTAAATATATAGTTCTGAAAATCGTTCTTAATTGAATAGCAGAGTTATAGAGAAACGATATTGTTGGAATCACTTATATCACTTACGATAAAAACACTGACAGCCAATCAGAATCCATCCTGCTGTGACGAGCTCGAGCGTTTAAATGATGATTCGCGATTAATCGCATCCAAAATAATACATGATGACTTCCCTGCTGAAAGCCCTCTCAGCTAAAATATATTACAAATTAATCGCATCCAAAATAAAAGTTTGTGTTTACATCATATATGTGTGTGTGTTATTATTTTGTATATATAAATACACACATATGCATGTATATATTTTAAGAAATATTTGCATGTATATACTTTATATATTTATACGAAATTAATATTATACATAAATCTAAATATTTTATATATTAATAACACATTTTTCTTAAATATACACGTGTGTTTATATATGCACTAATTATACACACTACACACATATATGATGTAAACACAAACTTTTATTTTGGATGCGATTAATCGCGATTATTCGTTTCACAGCCCTATCTTTTTAAAAAATATTTGTAATATATTTTAGCTGAGAGGGCTTTCAGCAGGGAAGTCATCATGTATTTCTTAGTAAGTTAAAAATCACAGACTTAAAATAAATTAAAAGTCGCAAATTAAAAGAAAAAGCAACAGGAAGTGTCTTAGTTATGTTTTAAAACTCCAAAACAGCTTCAGAGATTCAATTGACTTTAAGTCTGAGGAATTCACAATTCATCCAAAAGATGTTCCCTCATTGTGTGTTTTGATGATGCTATCGGCTTAAAGGGCGTGCTGGGCCCACAATATGAATATGATTCTCTCTCTCTTTCTCTTGTGGTATTTTTCAGTTTTCTCAAATCCATTGCCAAATAATGATCCTGATGGCTCAATTGATAAAAGCACCTCTTTACTGGCCGCAGCAAATGCCAATGAGCATCCAATGACATCAAATAATATCCCTGAAAATAAAGATGATGCTGCTGGTGATGGTAAAGATCCAGGTATTGCAGTTGCAAAGACAGATGCAGAAAACAACACCTCACCTGATGTCAACCAACACGTTAGTAATGAGGAAACAGAACCTAAAACGCCTGAAGCGGGTTCAAAGGAGAAAAACACACCTGGACCTGATGACAAACCTGAGGAAACGGCTGATGGAGAAGGCACAAATGAAGTCGGAAGTGAAGGAGAGATGCACTCCACAGCCGAGCAGAATAAAGCAGCTGGTGACCAAAACATCCCTGATCCTGATGAAGATCAATCAATAAAAGACAAGACTCCTGAAGAGGAAGAACCAACGGACTCTAAACCTACTGACGATGAACCACTCGTTGAAAAAACTGACGAGAAGCCCAACACACCTGATGAAGAAACTGTTGATGGCGAAGCTGAAACTAATGTTGATGAAGGACAGAACACAACTGATGATGATGATGAGGATAAAACCGACTCTGATGAAGAGGATGACGAAAACCAGACCGAATCTGAGGCTAATCCGGGCAGCCAAGAGGGAAAAACTGAAGATGACACTGAGCAAGATGTGGGTGACGGTGGCGATGCTGATACTGGTGATCTTCTTTCAGGTGAACTGGGTAAATCTGACCCCAAGGTCCTGGAAAAGAACTGGAAAGCGAAGGAGGATAACGAGTTCGAGGAGAGCGCCGAGAGCAGCCACTTCTTCGCCTATCTGGTGGCGGCCATCATTCTGGTGGCGGTGCTTTATATCGCCAGTCACAACAAGCGCAAGGTTAGTGAGCCTTTCTTCATCGAGAGCGTTTACTGCTGCTTTTAAAACCCAGTGACTATCATTCCTCTCACCCTCTCCTGTAGATCATTGCTTTTGTCGTTGAGGGTCGGAGGTTAAGAGGCTCGCGGAGACCCAAAACATCGGATTACCAAAAACTCGACCAGCATGTGAGTAGAGTATTTATTCGATGACTACTTTCATATGTGTGATGACTGGAAAACATGTTTCTACCACTGATGTGTATAAACTAGATAAAAAAATAAAGTTTGTGGAGAAATTTTAAGTTGGCTTGAGAAAGCTTGACCTGAAAGTTTGAAGACGTTTTAATTAGGGCTGTCAAACGATTAATCGCGATTAAATAATAAATAAAAGTTTGTGTTTACATAATATATGTGGCTGTTATTTTGTATATATAAATACACACACATGCTTGTATATATTTATGATATATTTTCACGTATATAATTTATATAGATTTTATATAATTATAAATATACATATTTTATATATAAATATTTTTTTCGTAAAATATACATTCATGTGTGTGTATTTATATATATATATATATATATAAAATATTTATACACAGTGCACCCACATATATTATGTAAACACAAACTTTTATTTTGGATGCGATTAATCGCGATTAATCGTTTGACAGCCCTGGTTTTAAAAGGTTTTTAGTTTGAAATAGTTTAAGTTTCGTAGTTTTAAAAGCTAGCTAGCTAGCTAGATCGCATGAATTAACAGTTTGCTTGCATGTATTACCTCATTGCTAACATGATTTAGCATGGTATTAGCATTTTTAGCAGGAACTAACATGTTGTTAGCGTTAATTAGCATATTGCTAACATGTTTTGAAAATGTTTAGAAGCAAGGTGTTCGAGAAAAATGTCACTTCTTGGTTACACAACATGACATTTATGGAGAACTTTTTTTTTTTTTGAGAATTTTAAATGTAACCTTTTTCTTTTTTTTTGAAAATGAAAAAAACAACAACATAAATTTAGTATGTGTTGTAAACAACATTTTTAAAAGATTTTTTCTTATCTTTATCCCGGATGCTCTTGTTTGTCATTCAACCCGAATGCATGTTTAACTCGGCTATGGCAACTATATAAAACGCATAATGTTACCTAATTAACTATCTGTTGCACATTACTAATATACTACATTTATTCTAATTATAAAAATAAATAAATATACTAATTTATAAATATTATAAATGCATTTATTACTAATATATTATATAGACTCATTACATTCAAAGTGAGATATTTCAAGCCTTTATTTGTAATAATTTTGATGATTATGTATTACAGATATAAAAACCTTTTCACAATATTCTAATTTCGAATTTGGGGTTTTCAAAAGCTGTGATCCATAATCATCAAAATTATAACAAATAAAGGCTTGAAATATCTCACTTTGCATGTAATGAGTCTATATAATATATTAGTTTCACCTTTTAAGTTGAATTACTGAACTTTTGCACGATATTAAAATTTTTCGAGTTTCGCCTGTAATGTCGAATTTTTTTTACCTCATTGTAAATAGTAAATTTTCTTCAATTGTTTCTTTTTTTTCTTCTGTTTTCCAGTGAGAAAGTGCAGTCCGACGAGTCAGCAGGGGATGAATGGAAATATTTGAACTGTGATCTTGAAACTTGAATTATTAATAATGCGGCGTATATTAACACAGCAGATCCTCACTAACTCGTCTTTATCCGCTCATAGCATGTCAGGTGTGGTGGAAACATAGAGCCGTGATAACTGAGCTTCATTCATTTACTGGTACAAATACATAAATCAGGTTCATTATAGCGGTACATACTGTAGATGTCGGTTCAGTCTGTGTCCTCTCTTTCCATTTATTTCCCCAGCCTTTTTGCTTGAGTTTCCTTGTTTGTTTTCTCTTTCCTCGAGTTATAGCTGGGCGAGTTGTGTAATACAGACGGAAACTGCGTGTATATCTTTGAGAGTGTGTTGGTTGTGGATGTTTTGTGGGTAACTGGGAATGATTTTTGAATCAGAGTTGTGCTGTACGAGTTCTTGAAGCGGATCACACACGTGAAGGGTGTGTGAATTGCACTTTCTGTCAGTGTACATGTGTAAAGGAGTTATTAATCTGCGCTACAGATATTCTACACACTAAGAATGATGAATCATCTTCACACACGCTCAACAATAAGGATGTTTTCAGTTCAGATTAACAAGAAAAAAATATTAGTGCTGGGCAACGATTAATCGCATCCTAAATACAAGCTTGCATAATATGTGTGTGTGTATTGCGTATAATTAATTTGTATATATGAATACACACATGCATGTATATATTTAAGAAAAACGGGTTATTTATATATTAAATATTCATAAATATATATATAATATAAATTATGTATATATACATGCAAATGTTTCTTAAATATATACATGCATATGTTAGTGTTTAAATATATAAAATAATGCACATCACGCATATATTATGTAAACTCAAACGTTTAATTTGGATGCTTAGCACAATATATATATATTTATATATTTTATGTTGATGTGTCAGAGAGATGTTTTATATTTTCCGTTAAACATTCCAACAGTGAAAAAGTACGTTATTTATGGAAATTATTATTTATGTTTTAAAGCAAAAAAAAAGACCTTTTATAATGTCCAAAAGGTCGCCACTTTTAAATCCTTCAGCCCCGATTTGTGACAACTTGCACTTTTCATTCACCAAAAAGCTTTGGTGCTGATGAAGAAACCACAATCTTATTGATTTATTGTTCTTTTCAGCAGCCACTGATTCATTTGAAGATGTTTTGTGGTGTGTAGTAACCCGTGCTTGATTCACGGAGCGAGTCACTGACGAACGAGATTCTTGTGCCAAATCCAGACAATGGCCAGAAACGAGTAGCAAAAGGACAGATACGCATAGTACACCTCTTGTCTTGATCCTAAAAACGGGAAATGGGTATGTTATCGGGTGCCATGTTATAAGCTATCACACTCTCGCTGTGCCTACTGTGATGCCCGTTGTGTTTTCTGTGGAGCCTGTGATTTGACGTTTAACCATTTTTCTTGAAATGAAGGAGGTATTTTGATTTCTTATGTGGGTATCGAATGTGACGGGGTGTAACTTGCCTGTTTACTGTGGTCTGTCTTTTACCACTATTCCAACCTTTACACAAGTGATATTCTTTCTACATGGAAAAGGAAATTGAATAAAGGTTTGATTTTTTTCTGGTTCTGAGTCGTCTTTGTCACATGAATATACGGTTATTGTTAACAAAACAATAAAAAAAAACTTCATTGGTTGAAATAAAATAACTGAATCATTTACTGAAAAAACAAATGTTATATTCATTTTGTACTTGTATATAAAGTACTAAAATAATTCATCTGTAAACTGTCACCCCCCTTTTTTGAATAGACATGGAAATGCACATTTCAAGCTTAAATGGTTGTAATTCAAGAATGCTTTGGAATATAGACACATGATTGGTCTTGTTTTAAAGACGACATTTGGTAGATTTTTGTAGATGTGAAAAAAATTAACAAAGTTAAAAATTAACAAAACAAGTTCATGAAGTTTGAGTTTGTGGAAATGTGTAATGTAAAAATATTAATTATTAATATTTTACTTAAAATATATATTTTTCAAAACCTGGGCTAATCAAAAATGGTGGAAAAATCAAAGCCACAAATCTAAACAAGTTGTGTTTAAAATTTTAGGTTGATATCTCCAAAAATGAGCTTTCTGTGAGATTTTGTTTGGGCGCAGTACCACACTTTTCCACTAGGACACAACCAGACTCCATTACTGCCCATATAAGGGTGCCCTTGAACCATCATTTACACAATTTCACACAATTTATGAAGTAGAGATCCTATTCAGAAGTAATATGGGAAATTTGGCAGATTTTGATATGAATTCAACCTCTAAGAAAAACAAACAAAGAACATGCATGTAAGTCATAGCTTGCTGCCAAGTCACGAATGGTGAGGTTTTTTTTTCAAAATTTTTGAAAAATGTTTCATGTTCACTGCTATTTTAAATAAAGGTTTGAACACGCCTTATGAGTATGAAAATATTCTTGTTACAAATTATGGCTCCTCTGTAATTTATTTTGAAAATCAGTCACCAAATATGGAAACTAGAGATTGCAAGCTTTCAAATGATATTTGTCAATATTATTTAAAGTATTTACTAAGATATTATTGTTGGGACGGTGACAGTCAAGCCGTATGCCACTTTGGGTCTTCTTTGCCAATTCTGGTGGACCATCTACCCCAGTGGTCTAATTTGATCTTTTTACTTCAAAATAAAAACTATAACTGTTACTTCACAAATCCAAAATACTGATCTGTCCACAAATCTCTCATTAACAAACATACCTTGCTATTCAACATAATTCAGAGTCATAGATCACTATTTTAACCTCAAAAACCTGTTTCGACTGACTGCATCTCACCAATGTTGATATTCAGATGAAATGACAAAATGTAAAAAAAAAATTAGCTGAGTAAATTATGACAGAACTTTAATTTTTGGTTGAACTGAACATTTTAACGCAACAAAAATCAATTCATGTTGTCCAAATTTAAGTGGATTGAACACACTGAAATTAAGTTAGGATCAAATGTACTGTAGTAGCCTATAAGTAATTTGAACAAGCAGCGATTTTCCTTTTCTCAGTGTAGTTTTTAATAGTGTTATTATTTAAATATTTATTGTAATTAAGTGGGTTATTATTCTGGATTTCCATGAATAAGATCAACATTTAAGACATCCCAAAGGTTAGTTGTGTAATCATTAAATTTGCATTCATGGTATTTCTGTTATGACATTCAATTAAAATTTGTTTTATTTTGTGTATATAAGTCATAGAATAACATTTTCCCTTTCAGATGAATCTCTTTTACTAGGGTTCTGCTTTGTCTATTATGAATTATTATCAACTAAAGTGTCAAAATAAAAAATTACAATAGTTTTAGTAATTAACATTAATGGCACTTAAAAAAATATATTTAAATAAGAAATATCAAAATTAATTTAAACAAAACGTTTCTATCAAAATGCCTCTTTTATACTATCTTTCGTTTAATAACATTATTTGTAACGTTAACAACAACAACAGCACCAATAAGAATTATAACAGTAGAAATAATAATAATTGTAATATCCTATAAATGATTAATACGAATGCTTCCTGGTTTAATGGCAGTAAGTGAACAAACAGTTTATCAGTCAGTCACAGATTAACAGACACACCCTGATGTGATCGATCAGTCAGCGAGCATGAACACCTTCCCGAGCCTGTGGAGGGAGACAACACTGATCTGAGATCAGCTTTACACACACACAGGAAGAGGAAGCGAGGGTGTGTTTGAGATCAAGGATGGACACAGAGCTACAGACACTACTTTAACGCTGTTTATTCCTCATCAAATACAGCTGAAGGCGATGGACGGGTTTCCCTGTTAGTTTGAATGTGATCTGACTGTCATTCTTACCAGGGTAAGGCTTTTTAAAGCGTTATAATCTAACGTTAGGCATCTAGCTGCACATATTCATAAACATACACATACCATAACAACCCTCAATGAAGGCGTTTTTAGCTGTTGGGTATTTTACTTATGACGCAAAACTATATATAATGTGAGTGTTTGAATGGGAAATATCACCTGTTTAACACTTATTTCACATCCTTATTTGATCCATTCTGTAAGCAGCACAGTAATAGTTCATACTCAGTAGTTTATTATTATAATCACTAGTGTATGAATGTACATGGGTTTTTATTGGTCAACGCATAAGGCCCGTTTACACGATAACAATAAAGATAATAGAAAAAACAAGATATCGTTCTCAATATTAAAGAATAGCAGAGTTCACACCACAGATATAACGTTAAAAGCACAAAGAAACGAACTCGCCTTCATAACGATTTCATCCAGCGATAAAACGATAAACAGTACGATGGTGTGGATGCTAATATAGTTATATTTCTTGGTGTGAACGGGCCTTTATTCTAGTAAATGTTTCTTGCACTAAAATATTTAATTCACACGACTGTAGTACTCCTTCTCGTTGTTTTGCTACTGTACCTTTAAGACTTCTATATATGTAAATGCTTCTGACATCAATTAAAGGCATAGTTCACCCAAAAATAAAAATTCTGCCATCATTTACTCACCCTCGTGTTGTTCAAAACCTGGATGAGTTTCTTTCTTCTGCTGAACACAAAAGAAGATATTTTGAAGTATGTCAGTAACTAGACAGTTTTCCTACTATGGAAGTCAGTGGCTACCGTCAACTGTTTTGACTTCCAACATTCCTTAAAATATCTTTTTTTTGTGTGCGTGTTCAGCAAAAGAAAGACACTCATACACGTTTGGAACAACATGAGGGTGAGTAAATGATGACAGAATTCCCACTTTTGAGTGACCTGTCACTTTAAGATGCCGAATACTTAGGTGTTATATGGCTGGGGTGATAATAAACTTATATTTCATTCAGAAGTCGTGTTTTGACTGTGATGTTTCCTCACAGGGTTGAAGGCGTAGATAATGTTGGACCACGCTGACGTGAGTTTGACCCCAGAGGAGCGAGTGCGGGCCTTGACGAAGAAGGGCAGCTCGGTGGACATGAACGAAGCAGTGCCGGTCCGCAGATACTTCCGCTCTGGCATGGAGATGATCCGCATGGCACACGTGTACGACGAGGAGGGCAACACAGAGCACGCCTTCGTCCTTTACAACAAATACATCACGTGAGAAAGAAGACCTCTGAACCGTACGCTGTTTTAGGGATACTCCACCCGAAAGTGAAAGTTCATGTCACCATTTACTCGTTCCAAACCTGCACGACTTTCTTTCTTCTGTGGATGTTTTAATTCCTCTAATAAACTGACCTGTGTGACTAATTCAGCGTTTAGTTCGGTAGAATTAAATATCCTTATTCCTTTATATCCGCGGGACTCGCGTTGCGTGTGGCGCTGGTATAATGTACGTCTAGCAATCGCGCCCTGCTTCGCACCACAAAACATCACTGTATTCACTCATCCATAAAAGATCCATCATCTTGACGACAAGATCCATAATTCCGCTTAATGCGGAATATACGTCATCAATATACACCTTTGATATTGGAAGAGGTTAGCGCCCCCTGGTGGCGAAACAATCTTGCATATTGTACCTTTAAGTCCTGGAAAACCCTTGAAATAGCCATTTTTAAAGTGCTTGAATTATTGAAATTCAATTTATGGGATTAATTTATTTAAATTCTATCGAGAAAACAATCTTTTCGCGCAAAATTAAAGCTGTAGTCCGTCTGATATAGATAAAGAGGCGTTTTGCATGGCTGTGAGAGTGATATTGCTCATATAAATATCCAAGTTAATGATAGAGCTTTTATTCTCAAGTCATTCAGTTTGAATAAGGAAAGCGACATCTTTGTCATAGTATCCTTTCAATGGTTAAAGTTACAGCAGTCATTGCATATGCTGCACTTTATTCGCACCATTTTGTATTATTAGTTTATCATTTTCGCTTCTTTAGAATTTTAAATATAATACAGATATTGTTTGATAAATGAGATCTCTGATTGTAGTCCTTAAAGCTACACTGTGTGATCTTTACCCCCATCTAGCGGTGAAAAGGTATATGACCATCCAGTGAATATTAGTTTCTGTTCCTCTCAATTCCGATTTCGTTTTAACTCCTACGGTGGCCATTGTAGTCCAAGATTAACATGGCCTCCAGTTCGACCTCGTCCATGAGTGTTAACTCAAACGTAAACGCGAAAGGCGAGCTTGGATTAACGGGTGTGTCCCTCTTTGGCTAATGTACTTTCAAGATGGAGGGGCAACATGCCGACCGACATTAGAACCCCTGACCCGTATGTATTTTCAATGGCATATTATACACTCACGAGAATACTTTATTACTTGAACTAAGTAAATATACATTAATGAGCACATATATTTTTGAAAGAACTAAGTGTTTTTAGCTAAGAATGAACTAAAAGAGTTACACAGTGTAGCTTTAAAGTAGTGTTCGAAAAGTCCTGGAATTTGATTTTAGTGTCCGCACGAACCCTGTAACAGTGAAAGTCCACGGGGTCTAGTGTGTTTTGGTTCCCAATGTTTCTGAAGAAAGTCATGAGTGTGAGTAAATGATGACAGGATTTTCACTTCTGGGTGGAGTGTCCCTTTAACTGGAATGGGAGTGTGAGTAATATTGGTATTGTTTCAGTTTAATTGCAACAGGTTTAACTCCCGTTCTTTTTAACCCGCCAGGCTTTTTATTGAAAAGCTTCCTAAGCATCCAGAATATAAGCTGTCTAATATTGCTGAGAAGAAGGAGATGTTAAGGGTAACGTAGTCTAGATGGAAAATGATTGTTTTGATCAGCAATCTCATCATATCTTGTTAGTGGTCTTAGTTTTGCTGTGGCTCCTCACACAGAAGCTAAAGGAGACGGCTTTCCCTCAAGCAGAGGTGCTGAAGAAACATTTACTGAGAAGATATGAGAGAGAATATGCGGAGTATATCAGCAAAAAGGTGAGGCACATTGTCCTGACGCTGGTCAACATTATCATGGAATAAAAGGGATTTTTTTTTAAAACCTGTCAAAAATTTGTTATATTTTACCCCAGAATCAAATGTTATATTTTGCATGATCGAACTTTAGGGCCATTAATATTTTTCTGCATTGTCGCATTATTTACGTGAAAGTTTAACACATTTTCTTACCCTAATCTCTTTATCATAATTCATCTGGACATTTATTTACTTAATTTCCAGTTTCCATAATTCAGTAGCAGCCATGTATGTGTATGTGTATGTATATATATATACAGTATATATATATATATATATATATATGTACATATGTATATACAGTATGTATATATGTATATGTATATATATGAAGAGTTCAGATGCAAAAGCCTCTAAGTGCCATTTGAAATTTTCTTCTTTAATGATGATTTTTATCAAGCTTGTATATTTAAGTTCAGTAATTTCACTTAAATGGCAATGATAATTACCTATTAATTGTTATTTAAGTGAAATTACTGAACTTAAATACACAAGTTTGATAAAAATCATCATTAAAGAAGAAAATTTCAAATGGCATTTAGAGGCTTTTGCATCTGAACTCTTCATATATATATATATATACACACATTACACAACCACTGACAGGTGAAATTGATTATATCATTACAATTAAAGAATAGAAAATAATAATTGAGTATTAATCATAATTTTAGAATGATTTCTGTAGGATCATGTGACAATAAGGATCGAAATCGATAAGAATTGGAATCAAAATCAGAATCATTCAAATACGGTAACACTTTACAATAAGGTTTGTTTATTAAACATTAGTTAATGTATTAACTAACATGAACTAACCATGAGCAATACATTTGTGACTGTATTTGTTTATCTTTGTTAATGTTAATTAATACAAATCCAGCTGTTCATTGTTTGTTCTCTCTGCATTAACTAATGTTAACAACAAATGCTGAAGAAGTATTGTTCATTCTTAGTTAATGTTAACTAATGTAGTCAACTAATGAACCTTATTGTAAAGTTTTCCCTAAAATTCAAACGTTACCCAACCCTAGATGCACAACAGGACTGTCCATCTTCAATTCTGTCATATATACAGATAAAAAAGTGTTGAATCTCTTGAACTAAAATAAAATGTGCAATGTAAAAGTGTATGGTAAAGGTAAGCCCTAGATGCACGTGTGTTTAACCTCTCGAGTCGTGTTGTCGCCCACTAGCGTGCGGAAGCAGAAGTGCTGGAGCGCGAGTTATCCCGTCAGCGAGAGCTGGAGTCGGAGAGGCAGCGTGTGCTGGACATGCAGAGGAGACAGCGAGAGCAGGAGCAGTTCAGCATGTTCGAGGACATGATCCGACAGAAGGAGCGTCCAGAACACAGGCCCCAGATCAGCTCTCCGGCGTCCCAGCAGGAGGACACGCTGCTCATCCCCGGGATCCAGGGTCCACCTCTGCCCTATCTAGAGTCCCCCACCCCCCCTCGGAGCCCGCAGACCAATCACAGCGCTCCGCCGGCACCCCCGACCTTTGACCGCTCGCTTAAACCGGGTCACCTCAGCAACAACAGTACGGCTCGCTCTCATACCTCACTACACATGAAGCAGCCTGATTCTGACGTGACGATATATCTGCCACCATATCGGTATCGGGGCCGATATATGTCCATTTATAATGTTAGCGTTATGTAGTTTCTGTTTTATAGCGATATATCGGCCTTCATATCGCTCTATCAGCCAATATATGTCCATTTATAATGTTATCGTTATGTTTATAGTTTCTGTTTTGACGATATATCGGCCACCATATCGGTTTCGGCTGATATTTGTTCATTTATAATGTTATCGTTTTGTAATTTTCTGTTCTGATGATATATCGCCATCATATCGCTATCAACCAATTTATGTTAATTCATTATATTATCGTTATGTTTATAGTTTCTGTTTTTTACGATATATCAGCCATCATATCGGTATCGGCTGATATTTGTTCATTTATAATGTTATCGTTATGTAGTTTCTGTTCTGATGAAATATCGCCATCATATCGCTATCAACCGATTTATGTTAATTCATAATATTATCGTTATGTTTATAGTTTCTGTTTTTTACGATATATCGGCCATCATATCGGTATCTGCTGATACATGTTCATTTATAATGTTATAGTTATGTTTATAGTTTCTGTTTTGATGATATATCGGTCACCACATCGTTATCGGCCGATATTTGTTCATTTATAATGTTATCGTTATGTAGTTTCTGTTTAGACGATATATCGGCCATCATATCGCTATCAACCAATTTATGTTAATTCATAATATTATCGTTATGTTTATAGTTTCTGTTTTTTACGATATATCAGCCATCATATCGGTATCGGCTGATATTTGTTCATTTATAATGTTATCGTTATGTAGTTTCTGTTCTGATGAAATGTCGCCATCATATCGCTATCAATCGATTTATGTTAATTCATAATATTATCGTTATGTTTATAGTTTCTGTTTTTTACGATATATCAGCCATCATATCGGTATCTGCTGATATTTGTTCATTTATAATGTTATCGTTATGTAGTTTCTGTTTAGACGATATATCGGCCATCATATCGGTACCGGATGATATATGTCCATTTATAATGTTATCATTATGTTTATAGTTTCTGTTTTGACGATATATCGGGCATCATATCGGTATCGGATGATATATGTCCATTTATAATGTTATCATTATGTTTATATTTTCGGTTTTGACAATATATCGGGCATCATATCGGTATCGGATGATATATGTCCATTTATAATATTATCGTTATGTTTATAGTTTCTTTTTTGACGATATATCGGCCACCATATCGGTATCGGCTGATATTTGTTCATTTATAATTTTAACTTTATGTAGTTTCTGTTCTGATGAAATATCGCCATCATATCGCTATCAACCGATTCATTTTAATTCATAATATTATCGTTATGTTTATAGTTTCTGTTTTTTACGATATATCGGCCATCATATCGGTATCTGCTGATACATGTTCATTTATAATGTTATAGTTATGTTTATAGTTTCTGTTTTGATGATATATCGGTCACCACATTGTTATCGGCCGATATTTGTTCTTTTATAATGTTATCGTTATGTAGTTTCTGTTTAGACGATATATCGGCCATCATATCGGTACCGGATGATATATGTCCATTTATAATGTTATCATTATGTTTATAGTTTCTGTTTTGACGATATATCGGGCATCATTTCGGTATCGGATGATATATGTCCATTTATAATGTTATAGTTATGTTTATATTTTCTGTTTTGACAATATATCGGGCATCATATCGGTATCGGATGATATATGTCCATTTATAATGTTATAGTTATGTTTATAGTTTCTGTTTTGATGATATATCGGCCACCACATCGTTATCGGCTGATATTTGTTAATTTATCATTTTATCGTTATGTTTATAGTTTCTGTTTTGAAGATATATATCGGTCATTATATCGGTATCAGCCGATATATGTTAATTTATAATATTATCGTTATGTTTATAGTTTCCGTTTTTACGATATTTTTTACGATATATCGGCCACCATATCGGTATCGGCCGATTTATGTTCATTTGTAATATTATAACTACGTTAATAGTTTCTGTTTTTGCGATGTATCGGCCGAGATATGTTCACTTTTACTGTTATCGTTATGGGCCTGATAAGAAATTTAACCGATATATTAGCCGAAGAATAATGGATTTTGTCTTTCAAATGAGCACTGTTCGTCATGATGGTTTTGAATTGCTTGAAATATGATTGGAATCTCTTAAAAAATGAAAATACAGTTTAGTGCAAAATGTTCATCACAAATACCATAAATTATCATGAGAATGTTATAATTGTGTTTTTTTAGACATGGCTTTTACTGGTGAGACTTTTATTTTTGTAATCAGGCTCTCAAAAATTATATAAAAATTTGGATTTATATTTATCGGCCAATATATCAGTTATCGGCTTTCGAATATAAAGATTTATCTGCCAAAATGTTAATATCGGTGCTTCACCTACTAGTTGTGACGGTGTTTCTCTTTGTGTTTCAGCTACAATGGTTGATGGCTTACGGCAGATTGCTGTTCCTGCTGAACTCTGTGGCAAATTCCTGCGAATAGCCAATAGCAACACCATAAGAGCCGTGGAGACCTGTGGGATACTCTGTGGGAGACTGGTATGACGGTCCTTCTGTGGGATTTCATACTTTAACATCACATACATTTTGGCTGTATTATTTTACAATTTTATGAACACTGCAGATTATTTCAGATAATTTGATGTTATCAACAAATTTTAATTTGAATGCATAGCTGTTAAAGGTATACTTCATAATTTTCCTCATCATGCGCTCCCAGATGTATATGACTGACTTTGTTGTGTGGGACAGAGAGATTTTTAGAAAAATTATCCATCACTGTGAGTCCATTTAATGCAAATGTACCAGACCCCCAGATTTAAGAGCAGGTGTGTGTGTGTCTGTTGCAGAATAGGAACGCGTTCACAGTGACGCACGTGATCGTCCCGAAGCAGTGTGGCGGTCCAGATTACTGTGACACGGAGAATGAAGAGGAGCTGTTTCTGGTGCAGGACCAGCACAACCTCGTCACCCTGGGCTGGATACATGTCAGTCTTTACACACACACTTCACCTGTACTCTCTTTACAAACGTGGACAACCACATCAGGAAGTGTTTCCATCAGTGTCGGATTATACACACAAATATTAAACATATAATAGTCTATTTGTAATCAGTTTTTAAATATTGCACTAATAAGAAATATATGAATATATATATATATATATATAGCATGTAATGCCCCTCTCACTATTGTTGAGCTGAAAGAGCAAGTGATCATCTTTCCGTGATTATTTCCCCATATGTCCGTCAGAGGCATACAGTTCTCAGATCAGATGTGTGACCGATCAGCTCTGCTCCACAGACACACCCGACTCAGACTGCATTCCTGTCCAGCGTTGATCTGCACACACACTGCTCGTACCAGATGATGCTGCCCGAGTCCATCGCCATCGTCTGCTCGCCCAAATTCAACCAGTAAGTGAAGTGGCCTGACGTCACACCTCAAAGTCATAGACATACAACATCAGCCTCTTCTCACAAATAACTGTGGTTCTTTATTTCTGAATCTGGGTGAAAACCTGGAATTTTAAAAGTGTGATTTCATTTTATAGAGGGTATGATTGACGATCACACTCCCTCAGTGGCAGAAGAGCTGCTGAGTGACTGGATTTAATAGAGGAAAACACGAGTCAAACAAACGATATGAGTTTAAACTAAAGCTTGGACTCGATATAATGTTCCTTACAACTTACCAAAGATCCAGTGATCCACAGATATTGACATGCAGCAGGAATCGTGTTTCCTGACATTTATATGAGCGTGATTTCACCATCGGGGAAATACATAAAGCAAATTTGCCTGTGAATGTTTCATATAAATACAATATAGTAGAGCCAGACCGATATATCAGCAGACCGATATTATCGGCCGATATTAGGCATTTTCCAAACTATCGGTAACTCAAATAAGCATGACAAAATTTGTGACTAATCATCTCCAGTTTAAAAAAAGGGCAGTGGAATGAAAATAATAATTATAGACAGGGTTTTTAAAAACGTCAAACTAGTTTTAACGTCATGTGGAAGATGCTATAAAAAACACTGAATGCATTTTTGCATTTAAAAAGGTATACTACTTTTAACATGACATGGCATCCTAAAAATGCAGCTTGTGTGCAGTTTTTACAGTCTATGCTTGTGTGTGAGACACTAAAAAGATGCGACACTATCAGCAGACCGTTATTATCGGCCGATATTAGGCTTTTTCCAAACTATCGGTATCGGCAGTTATAATGGCCGATAAATTAATATTTCAAAAATAAAATAAAAACGGACGAAACATGCTTGAACCATGTCATGAGTGTTGGAGTTGTATAGTTTGTCCACCAGAGGGCACTCTACACCGTTCCTGTTGGCAACACTCGTTGAGTTGGTCATGATACATACATTGCTTGAATAACAATTAAAAAAACATCCCCATCAGTTCTCTGAACTCAAATAAGCATGACAAAATTTGTGACTAATCATCTCCAGTTTAAAATAAATAAATAAATAAAATATCGGCCGATATATCGGAATATCGGATTTTAAAACCTAAAAATATTTGTATCGGTATCGGCCTTCAAAATACTTTATCGCTCGGGCTCTACAATGTAGGTCTAAATCCGTGTGATCACTGACATCAATGTATCGTCCAGCTCTAAATCTCTAAATTTAAAAACGTCCAATTACGCAGAATATACGATGGTAAATATTTAATTGATGACTTGTCAATACAATATACACAGTAGAGTGGGATTTTTACCCCTAAATTCAGCATAAAACGATAACTGCAAATCCACCTTTCTCTGTCTGGATCCAGTTGTTTCTGTGAATCGTAGCGATCATTTGCTTCTCTGTTCTGTAGCTTTCGGCAGTCTGTAAAAATGCACAAGTCAAATCGATTTCTCAAAGCTCTTTCCCGTTGTAGATGTATTCAGCCGACTCAGTGTGTGTGACGGTGACATCATACACATAATGTCTATTGGGTCGATAAACATCACAGTGAATAAAACAAATCTGAATGACTGTTTGAAAACATGTAAATACTGTGTGTCACTTACGGCTGTCAAATCGCGATTAATCGCGTACAAAAAAAAATTAAAAGTTTGTGTTTGCATAATATATGTGGGTGCACTGTGTATAATTATTTTGTATATTTATATATATATAAATACACACACATGCATGTATATTTAAAAAAAAATATTATTTATATATAAAATAAATTATATATAAATCTATATACATGAAAATATTTCTTAGATGTATACAAGCATGTGTGTGTGTTTATATATGTAAAATAATTATACACAGTGCACACACATATATTATGTAAACACAAACTTTGGATGCGATTAATCGTTTGACAGCCCTAATGTCACTGCTAAATTTAGGGATGAAATCATTCCCTGTATATTGTATTTCTGCTTTTTTGCATCGTCTCTCAGCCTGATGTCGTGTTGTTCACAGGACCGGCTACTTCAGACTGACAGACTATGGCCTGGAGGAGATCTCAACCTGCACTCAGAAAGGCTTTCATCCTCATCCCAAAGAACCTCCTCTTTTTACGGTAGTGACATCAACCCATCTGTCTGCGTTTGGATAAGAGCCCTTCACTAACACGCATGTTGTTCCCCTCAGGGTGGCAGCCACATTATAATCACAGAGGGCACCGTCTCGATGCTTGACCTCCGGTGACCCCTTCACACGGCTGCTTCCTCATGTTTTCACAGCTTTTTTCAGTGGTGGTGGGATTTCTTGAAGAGACAGACAGCACTTTACGGATAACTGAAGCAGAGATGTTTATGACATCCGTTGGGAACTCAGGAACACGATCACCTCCACGGGACACTCCTTTTGCGTTGTCCTAATGATCTAGCGAGCAGTAAGCTAATGTTTTGTGGTGATTTATGCTCTGATCATAACTCATCTGTTGAAACGAGTATCTTTGAGAAGCGCTTCAGGCAGAACATGTCATGAATGCAGCAATTTCAGATTTTGTTATGAACTATTTTCTTTTTAATCTGTAATCCATGAAGATGTGATGTTGAATTCTTGCTTCTGATTGGTTCACAGACGTTTTGAGGGGCCGGTCACACAGATCGCGTTTTAGCGTTTCATAATGCAAGACGCAGGGCTGTGGAATGAAAATAATAATTATAGACAGGGTTTTTAAAAAAGTCAAACTAGTTTTAACGTGCGCTGTCATGTGGAAGATGCTATAAAAAACACTGAATGCATTTTTTGCATTTTAAAAGTGTAAGGTAAACTACTTTTAACATGACACGGCATCCTAAAAATGCAGCTTGTGTGCATTTTTTACAGTCTATGCTTGTGTGTGAGACACTAAAAAGATGCAAGACATGACGTGTGATTTACACTCAATGCATTTTTGTTTAAATGTCAAATTGTGTTCTTCAAGATTAATATTTCAATGTCAATACATCATCAATCCTTCTTTTTTGTCTTACCCTGATTTACTATGATAAGCCTAAGCATAATAAAGTGTGTTTTAGACTGGACGGGACGGTTTTTCAGGGAAATTGTGTATATGCCAAGACACAACATAGCTTGGCTTTTTTAGAGATGGAGAGAATTAAAATGTTATAAATGAGATAATGGTGTTTCTAGTGTTTTATTGTACAGATAAATTTCAATATGTAACAGTTGAAGGATAATATTCATCAGAGCCGAGGCACAAACAAAACAATGTTCTTCCACAGAATGCATGCGGTTTTGTTTTCTAAGGCCCCGTCCACACTACTGCGTTTTCGTTTAAAAACGGAGAATTATAACGAATACGATCTCCGTCCACACCAGCATTTTACAGGATTTACTTCTATTTATATAACATGCATATGTTTCATTATCGATACATCTCTTAAATCTATATAATCCTGGATTGATTACTTACATTAAATACATGAACTTTAGTATCGTATGGTGACTATGTAACAGCGTCTCTCCAGCATAGTCTCCAGTGCCTGTGGAGAGGCGGTGCTGAATGTGATGCCTGACCAATCACGGTCAAGCATAATACAGAGGCTCCTCCCCCTCAGTGAGGCACGTGTTAACCCAATTACAGTCTTTTTTTTATTTTTCAACTTTCATAAAAGCTTACCCTTCCAGACCTGAGATATTGAGATATTTATAATGGCATAAATGCTACGTGGGATATCAATATCTCAGCTCTGGAAGGGTCTAGAACCTCCATTTTTGCACTCAGGTCTAAGTCCCATGACCCTCTATCAGAATCCAGAGTTTCAAGAAGATCAGAGAAACTCAAAATTTCAACAGTGGTACCCCTGTCGTTTCTCTTTTTTGGTGCGAAAAAATAAGTTTCTCTAATCTTCTTGAAACTTTGGATTCTGATAGAGTGCCATGAGACTTAAACCTTAGTGCCAAAATGGAAGCTCTAGATCCTTCCAGAGCTGAGATATTGAAGATCCCACGTAGCATTTATGCCATTATAAATATATCAATATCTCAGCTCTGGAAAGGTCTAGAGCCTCCATTTTTGGCACTCAGGTCTAAGTCTCAGTGCCCTCTATCAGAATCCAGAGTTTTGAGAAGATTGGAGAAACTTAATTTTTCGCCCAAAAAAAAAACGTAAGGGGTAACACTGTCGTTTTTTTTCGGGTCGAAATTTTGAGTTTCGATATCTCAGCTCTGGAAGGGTCTAGAGCCTCCATTTTTGCACTCAGGTGTAAGTCTCAGTGCCCTCTATCAGAATCCAGAGTTTCGAGAAGATTGGGGATACTTAATTTTTCGCCCAAAAAAAAAAAACGTAAGGGGTAACACTGTCGTTTTTTTTTCGGGTCGAAATTTTGAGTTTCGATATCTCAGCTCTGGAAGGGTCTAGAGCCTCCATTTTTGCACTCAGGTGTAAGTCTCAGTGCCCTCTATCAGAATCCAGAGTTTCGAGAAGATTGGGGATACTTAATTTTTCGCCCAAAAAAAAAAAAACGTAAGGGGTAACACTGTCGTTTTTTTTTCGGGTCGAAATTTTGAGTTTCGATATCTCAGCTCTGGAAGGGTCTAGAGCCTCCATTTTTGCACTCAGGTGTAAGTCTCAGTGCCCTCTATCAGAATCCAGAGTTTCGAGAAGATTGGGGATACTTAATTTTTCGCCCAAAAAAAAAAAACGTAAGGGGTAACACTGTCGTTTTTTTTTCGGGTCGAAATTTTGAGTTTCGATATCTCAGCTCTGGAAGGGTCTAGAGCCTCCATTTTTGCACTCAGGTGTAAGTCTCAGTGCCCTCTATCAGAATCCAGAGTTTCGAGAAGATTGGGGATACTTAATTTTTCGCCCAAAAAAAAAAAACGTAAGGGGTAACACTGTCGTTTTTTTTTCGGGTCGAAATTTTGAGTTTCGATATCTCAGCTCTGGAAGGGTCTAGAGCCTCCATTTTTGCACTCAGGTGTAAGTCTCAGTGCCCTCTATCAGAATCCAGAGTTTCGAGAAGATTGGGGATACTTAATTTTTCGCCCAAAAAAAAAAAACGTAAGGGGTAACACTGTCGTTTTTTTTTCGGGTCGAAATTTTGAGTTTCGATATCTCAGCTCTGGAAGGGTCTAGAGCCTCCATTTTTGCACTCAGGTGTAAGTCTCAGTGCCCTCTATCAGAATCCAGAGTTTCGAGAAGATTGGGGATACTTAATTTTTCGCCCAAAAAAAAAAACGTAAGGGGTAACACTGTCGTTTTTTTTTCGGGTCGAAATTTTGAGTTTCGATATCTCAGCTCTGGAAGGGTCTAGAGCCTCCATTTTTGCACTCAGGTGTAAGTCTCAGTGCCCTCTATCAGAATCCAGAGTTTCGAGAAGATTGGGGATACTTAATTTTTCGCCCAAAAAAAAAACGTAAGGGGTAACACTGTCGTTTTTTTTTCGGGTCGAAATTTTGAGTTTCGATATCTCAGCTCTGGAAGGGTCTAGAGCCTCCATTTTTGCACTCAGGTGTAAGTCTCAGTGCCCTCTATCAGAATCCAGAGTTTCGAGAAGATTGGGGATACTTAATTTTTCGCCCAAAAAAAAAAAACGTAAGGGGTAACACTGTCGTTTTTTTTTCGGGTCGAAATTTTGAGTTTCGATATCTCAGCTCTGGAAGGGTCTAGAGCCTCCATTTTTGCACTCAGGTGTAAGTCTCAGTGCCCTCTATCAGAATCCAGAGTTTCGAGAAGATTGGGGATACTTAATTTTTCGCCCAAAAAAAAAAAACGTAAGGGGTAACACTGTCGTTTTTTTTTCGGGTCGAAATTTTGAGTTTCGATATCTCAGCTCTGGAAGGGTCTAGAGCCTCCATTTTTGCACTCAGGTGTAAGTCTCAGTGCCCTCTATCAGAATCCAGAGTTTCGAGAAGATTGGGGATACTTAATTTTTCGCCCAAAAAAAAAAAACGTAAGGGGTAACACTGTCGTTTTTTTTTCGGGTCGAAATTTTGAGTTTCGATATCTCAGCTCTGGAAGGGTCTAGAGCCTCCATTTTTGCACTCAGGTGTAAGTCTCAGTGCCCTCTATCAGAATCCAGAGTTTCGAGAAGATTGGGGATACTTAATTTTTCGCCCAAAAAAAAAAACGTAAGGGGTAACACTGTCGTTTTTTTTTCGGGTCGAAATTTTGAGTTTCGATATCTCAGCTCTGGAAGGGTCTAGAGCCTCCATTTTTGCACTCAGGTGTAAGTCTCAGTGCCCTCTATCAGAATCCAGAGTTTCGAGAAGATTGGGGATACTTAATTTTTCGCCCAAAAAAAAAAACGTAAGGGGTAACACTGTCGTTTTTTTTTCGGGTCGAAATTTTGAGTTTCGATATCTCAGCTCTGGAAGGGTCTAGAGCCTCCATTTTTGCACTCAGGTGTAAGTCTCAGTGCCCTCTATCAGAATCCAGAGTTTCGAGAAGATTGGGGATACTTAATTTTTCGCCCAAAAAAAAAAACGTAAGGGGTAACACTGTCGTTTTTTTTTCGGGTCGAAATTTTGAGTTTCGATATCTCAGCTCTGGAAGGGTCTAGAGCCTCCATTTTTGCACTCAGGTGTAAGTCTCAGTGCCCTCTATCAGAATCCAGAGTTTCGAGAAGATTGGGGATACTTAATTTTTCGCCCAAAAAAAAAAACGTAAGGGGTAACACTGTCGTTTTTTTTTCGGGTCGAAATTTTGAGTTTCGATATCTCAGCTCTGGAAGGGTCTAGAGCCTCCATTTTTGCACTCAGGTGTAAGTCTCAGTGCCCTCTATCAGAATCCAGAGTTTCGAGAAGATTGGGGATACTTAATTTTTCGCCCAAAAAAAAAAAACGTAAGGGGTAACACTGTCGTTTTTTTTTCGGGTCGAAATTTTGAGTTTCGATATCTCAGCTCTGGAAGGGTCTAGAGCCTCCATTTTTGCACTCAGGTGTAAGTCTCAGTGCCCTCTATCAGAATCCAGAGTTTCGAGAAGATTGGGGATACTTAATTTTTCGCCCAAAAAAAAAAAACGTAAGGGGTAACACTGTCGTTTTTTTTTCGGGTCGAAATTTTGAGTTTCGATATCTCAGCTCTGGAAGGGTCTAGAGCCTCCATTTTTGCACTCAGGTGTAAGTCTCAGTGCCCTCTATCAGAATCCAGAGTTTCGAGAAGATTGGGGATACTTAATTTTTCGCCCAAAAAAAAAAACGTAAGGGGTAACACTGTCGTTTTTTTTTCGGGTCGAAATTTTGAGTTTCGATATCTCAGCTCTGGAAGGGTCTAGAGCCTCCATTTTTGCACTCAGGTGTAAGTCTCAGTGCCCTCTATCAGAATCCAGAGTTTCGAGAAGATTGGGGATACTTAATTTTTCGCCCAAAAAAAAAAACGTAAGGGGTAACACTGTCGTTTTTTTTTCGGGTCGAAATTTTGAGTTTCGATATCTCAGCTCTGGAAGGGTCTAGAGCCTCCATTTTTGCACTCAGGTGTAAGTCTCAGTGCCCTCTATCAGAATCCAGAGTTTCGAGAAGATTGGGGATACTTAATTTTTCGCCCAAAAAAAAAAACGTAAGGGGTAACACTGTCGTTTTTTTTTCGGGTCGAAATTTTGAGTTTCGATATCTCAGCTCTGGAAGGGTCTAGAGCCTCCATTTTTGCACTCAGGTGTAAGTCTCAGTGCCCTCTATCAGAATCCAGAGTTTCGAGAAGATTGGGGATACTTAATTTTTCGCCCAAAAAAAAAAAACGTAAGGGGTAACACTGTCGTTTTTTTTTCGGGTCGAAATTTTGAGTTTCGATATCTCAGCTCTGGAAGGGTCTAGAGCCTCCATTTTTGCACTCAGGTGTAAGTCTCAGTGCCCTCTATCAGAATCCAGAGTTTCGAGAAGATTGGGGATACTTAATTTTTCGCCCAAAAAAAAAAACGTAAGGGGTAACACTGTCGTTTTTTTTTCGGGTCGAAATTTTGAGTTTCGATATCTCAGCTCTGGAAGGGTCTAGAGCCTCCATTTTTGCACTCAGGTGTAAGTCTCAGTGCCCTCTATCAGAATCCAGAGTTTCGAGAAGATTGGGGATACTTAATTTTTCGCCCAAAAAAAAAAACGTAAGGGGTAACACTGTCGTTTTTTTTTCGGGTCGAAATTTTGAGTTTCGATATCTCAGCTCTGGAAGGGTCTAGAGCC